GGGGAGGGGGGAGGAAACGGAAGGGGAGGGGGTGGGGGGAGATCCTTCCGTTTCCCCCCTTCCACCCTACCCTTGAACCGCTACACAGGCTAGAAATATTGCGAACTGTATCCTTTTCRCATACAACTGCCGTCGACTTCGTATACTATAGACCTTTGAAGCTTTTACGTCATGTACCGTATACGCAATGCATTGTAGGATATGTTTGGGAGAAAAATTGGTGAATTTCTKTTGCTTTCTCAAGAAACTGATCCCATGCATTGCAAGAAACGTAGGTGACGTGAAGGCTTCAAAATTCTATTGGAAACGTTGTTTATGTTTATGAAAGGAAAAGTGTAAACGCAARTAAGAATTTATGGAACTGATTACATCGATTCAAATCTTCAGGAAGGCGAAGATAAGTTTACTTCACTTGGTACTGGAAACAGAATAGCTACCTTCCTTGCCTATGTGAGTACATTATGTAAGCATACTGTGGCTCAACACAATATTAGCGGTAGATCGAAGTGAGATATACAATGGCAACGCGTAATAAGCAAGTTGTATTATACAGAGAATTCTATATTAAACGCCTAGGCTACAATCTTTTGCAAAATTGTGTGAAACAYCGTCTATGATTGTGTTACTACAACCTCCCCTTCCCTTTTACAATGTTGTTCGTCAATTAATTGCTACGAAATCGACAAGGAGGCGAAAGAAACGTGTGTGCAACCTTGCAGTTGGGAAAGGGGATGGGGTATTCTATTGTAGCTCTAATTGAAGTTTGACTGTATTTTTGTGGTTTAGTTATCAGACGTTGAGGCTGGAGGGGGAACAGTGTTCACAAGGGCCGGGACAGTGGTATGGCCAAGTAAGGTAAGCGATGCTAAACATGGAATAAACCACTTGTGTGTGGTGTACGTGAATCAAAATGCCTCATATTTTTTATTAAACTACACTGTCGTTGTTTTAGGGTGATGCCGCGTTCTGGTACAACCTCAAGCAAAGTGGTGATGGAGATGACAGCACAAGACATGCAGCATGTCCAGTTTTAGTCGGAAGTAAATGGGGTACGGTTCAATATTATTCATTGTTTTCTTTACTTGGGCTTCCTGTGTTGAGTTTTCTGTGGCCTGGGTCAATAGTACCAATCTTAATCGTGTGAAAATCAATGTTTTGAACTCATGTGCACTAGAAAAGACACTTTTGCCGTACTTGGTCTAAATTACAATTTTGAATACATTTCAATTATCTTATCTTCTTATTGGACCAGTCCAATAATATAATGGAAGAGACACTCATTTCTATTTATCATTTTTTTTTTATCTTTTCAGTTGCCAATAAATGGATTCATGAAGTTGGACAAGAATTTAGAAGACCTTGTAGCTTAAAGAGATCTGAATAACTTATTGAGTCAGAATAATATCGATATAGTAACGGGTAGTGTTACCATGGCAACAACGCATTACTATGGTTACAGTTTACGCTACCATGACGATTAACCTCGATATAGTTATGTTCATTGCTASCGTAGTCACGGTTACGTCTTAATGGTTACTCTGGAGACGTACCACGTATCGTAGCGTTTTAAACAGTTGCCTGGAAACGCCACTGGTGGGCGTTGTCTGACATTTCAAGTTAGTTGTTTTCACAACTTAGTATGCTTTATTCCCCGTCGCTCCCCTCCCTTCACTTTTTCGCATCATTATGTTTTGAATTTAAGAGGCATATTTTATATATTTTTAATGCGCGCTTGCAAAAAATATTTTACAGAGTTTATAAAGTAAATTTATAAAAGTATATCGATGATAAAAAATTAATAATCCCTAATAAAGATTCTAAAGAAAAATAGTGTAAAGATTTGAAGAATGTTAGCATTAAACATTGATCTATTGCTGCAGTCATTATGATTATCTAATTGCCTCTGTATTGCTTCCCTCTTGAAGATTACTTCTGGAACATTCAGAGCGCTCCAGAGCGCACAATCCAAACATGGTCATGTTGTTACCTTATAAGGGCCCGTTTACAAATATTGTGTTTCAAATTGCGAAATAAACTGTTTAAATAAGATGTGATTCTTATTCAAATATATCACGCAAAATCAATTGAGTYGAAGTCCGTCATTGCTGGAACGAACACAACAAAGAAAGCAAATGGAGTTCCACGAGAATTCAAACTCGACGAATTCGAGCTCGACGAGTTTTTCTCTTTATAGCGACAACATACTGATTTTCACCGTAGTATTTTCTATTCAATTCGTGTTCGCCGTCGTTGAAAACTTGCTCATCGTATGGATAGTCTATAAAGACAAACGATTGAARACTACCACTAATTATTTAGTAGCAAACATGGCGGTCAGCGATGTTCTTGCGGCAGTCTGCGTGTTTCCYCTACGGTTGATTTGGATTAACTTTGATAAAAAATGGCTAGTTGGAGGTATTATTGGACAGTTGTTGTGTAAATTAAGCAATTTTACAGCTGAACTATCGCTTACAGTCTCTGTGTACAGCTGTTTTTTCATTGCTATTGATCGTTACTACGCCGTGGCTCATCCCATCAAGAAGCCTTTTCAACCCAAGATCAAGTTCATCATCGCACTGACTTGGATCTTGTCAAGTTTCTTCAAGGCGCCAATATTCTACTTTTACGACATTATAGTTGAAGATAACCAAAAGATTTGCCTTGTGTCATCCAATATTTCCTCGTCTTTTTCCGTGTATTTTTATGTTAACAAYGTTTTGACCTTTGGTGTGACCATTATTGTTGTTACTATCATCTATGTACTCATTGTGTACAAACTACACAAGCACAAAGTTCCTGGATTTCAAAATAATTCAACTATAAGACGTAAAGAACTTCAGAACAGGAAGGTTTTAAAGCTTTCTGTAACTATTGTCGCTTTGTTTTACATTAGCTGGGGCTCAAGATCCATAATTGCGATTTTGAACGATACTGGAAACTTTGATCATCTTTCCCAAGAAGCAAACTTTAACCTGATGAGTATTTCGTTTTTCATGTTGTACATGAGCCTTGTGTATAATTTCTTTGTTTATCTGTTCTTCAATAGCGTTTATCGTCAGAACTTCAAAGATATGATAACCAAATGTTGTTTTTCTGATACAATCAGCAATATTATGGAGTACAGTTTGAGGCAAAGTAGTAGTGGTAACAGGGAAAAGGTTTCTGAGTCTGGCGTAGTTCAAATGAAAAACATACAAGAGCGTTGTTCAATATAAAAAAAGTAACATCTGATAGAAAAGATATCGTCAGTTTCGAGAGTTATTTTCCATTAGATTATGAAATAACTGGCAAGTAATGTGAAAGCAGAAATTCCATGAAACTGTGCAAAATCAAAGTCTCGAGATTTAAATAATCCTGCACCTGAAGAGGAACATCATTTGAATTGTTTTTAGGAAAACCATCTTCTCTGCGCACAAATATGTTTAACTTTCACGGTTTAAATGCGGCCGCTGTATACACTCAGATCTGTTATTTTTTTTTTTATTAACAATCGCGTAAGCTTACCAAGTAGCTATTATAGTTTTACCTTAAAATCAAATCGCGAGCTTTCTGGGTTTAGTTTACCCGTATTACTAATCGAGTCTCAGTTATACCGGCGATTTTATATTTTCAGCTTGTAATAACGTGTTATTTATTTGTAGTTTTTCGCACGACATCGCGAATAAACAGTACATCAAAAGACTTTAATAAAAAAATCAGTGGCACCACCTTAAGTTGATTTAGAGTTCTTTATGAGAACCTCTAATCGTTTTACGTGGACACCTTTTATTGATATAAATTGTTTTTTCGTGATTTTTTTTATGTAAAAACTTCATAACATCTACAATAGAAACAGCATTAAACTGGTATTGGCTCGATGGCTAAACGATGAGGTTTCATTTTATTAAGCAAAAATGAAACTCCAATGTGGTTCAAATCCACAAATAACAACTTTACCAACACCATATTAAAAATGACACCTATGGCGAGACTATTTTCGGTTTCTCACAAAGCCTTTTCTATGATTAATAATAACCTTACAATGTATGATATAAAAACTGAAATCTTGACACGAGTAAATTGCTGATACACTCACATGACTTATCTAGCACCGACTTCCTGTTTCAACCCCCGAATCTTTATACATGAACCGCAATTATTGCACATTACTCCATGCATTTGTTTTCGTTCGTTTTTATTTCATTTTTATTCACCTCTGGAAAAATTTGATTCGACTTTTGAAAAATCACATAACCAAACGACCGCAATCATCTGAGATTTTCGTGACTAAATTTACCCCCTGACATGTCCTTTGAGAACGCATCGTGATTGTGTAATGTATATTTGCTAAATATTGAGCAAACACACGTTTTATCAGAACTACCTCTGCGTGTCACAGCGAAATGAAAAATTGGGATGGTCTCCCTCGAAGGAAAATATCACTTCGAACGTCTTCTAAAAATATCTTCAAAAATTCGATTTTAACCTTCCGACTATATTTCCTTTATTTGTTAGCCGAATAGAATTGGGTTCAATTTGTGGAAAGTTTCAACAAACTGATGAAGATTTTTAACTATAATAAAAAGAGTCAGAAAAACAATTTCCCCTCGCTGCAGGATCACCAGGAACGTTGAAGATTAATCAACACTAATATTTCAATGTTCGTGAAGCAGTCTTTTGTTCTTGGAAAGCAAAGAAAATTCACTTGATCTTAAAAAGATAAATATTGATTGTAATATGAGTTGGGAACTCGTCATGCAGGTGCAACTGGTTGCGAGAAGACCCGAGCAGATAAATGTTTCTTCTTTTGCACCGCAAATAATGGCTTGCATCGACCCAGAATCCAAAAAGGAACCCACGCATAAGTCTTTAAGGCTACTGTTAAGAATTAATGTAGGTATGATTAATCGTCCAGGTGTGAGAAGTCTTGTGGAAATTGTAGAAACGTCAGGAAACAATACGAAAAGCCTTCCTCAAGATTTCTCAAACTTGGACGGTCATATATCATATCTAGATCTCTTACAACTGGGCTCAGGACATTCACTCTCATCTGAGGAATAAGAAGGTTTGGAAGCTGAGATTTTAATTCCCATGAAGTCCATTACGAAATAACAGAAACTTAGAGTTGGAACAACAAAACTTTGATTATAATATCAYCTCTGTCAAACAAGTCTGACAGCAAAAGAGCCCGGTATACTKATATGACGTAAAGCAGGAAGAAACGTGATTTAAGATGATCAATGTTCAACAAAATGTCTTGCAAAACCAGGCAATTAAAAYAAGCCTGGAGGGATCTGATTTTAARAAAATCTTYTCAATTAAAAAAGACAATTCCGAGCCTTCTCTTTGGCATCTGCAACGTCAATATRTTAGATTTGCTTGTCATGTAAAGCAAACAGAAAAGTTTTGGTTAAAAGCTTTTTTATTTACTAATTTATCTCTTGATTGAAATACGATTAAAGCCAAATTGGAGAAATATAGTGCAAATCAAAAAGTTTTATAAGGAATAGGCAGTACGAATTCATTCGGAGGGAAAGCGTTGGGAAGGAATGCGGGGGTGCCACCTTCAATGGGCTCTTCTGCATGAAACGGTTACATGGTATTAAATCCATCATACTGGATGGCAAAACAAAGAAAAGTCAAGTTTGACAGGCTGCGTTCCGTTTGTTTTTGAGGTTGTATATATTCTTTTGATATCCAGTATGGTGGATTTATTACCATTTGACCGTTTCATGCAAAGGTTTATATGCTTACAGGAAAGAAACAAAATAATTTCACCAGAAATGGTCAAAACCCTTATGAATGATGCGTGCAAACTAAAACTAAATAGATAAGGAACGGTGAAAATGCATGTTTATGAATGGTATTCATATTTATTTTCGTTCATGTAATTTTTCTTTCTTTTYATTAATAATTTATCCAACTTTTCCTTTTCTCAAAACCCCCTCTCGCGAATCTATTACACAGGGTACCCATGTACCCTTGAACACATAGATGGACACACATTAGCTATTGTATAGGAACAGAACACCTTTTGAACGATTTCTATTTAACGGCGTCGTCAAACTTTGGGTTTCCATTTGAAGGGTACACATTTACGTGACGTGTCACGCAAGAAGACCTTCTCTGCAGTCACAAAACGCTTTCAGATCTTCTAATCATTCTCGTTTAGTCCACATGGGCGTCGAAATTCGTTACCATGTTCGTGGAACCATTTGTTTGCGACTAAAATAAAAAGGGTGCATATAATCGCTTTAACAATTGCGCAGACTTTAAACTGCATCCTCCCCAGGCAACTCTTTTTTACTCCTTTGGGCTTCCTTTGTAACGGTCATCTTGTCCGGTAGGGACTAGTGACGAGAAAGGAAAAATAAGAAGAGGAGGAACTTCCCTCTCTCGCTCCCATTCTCCCTCTTTTAACTCCTCAAAAAGACAGGAATCCCGTGATTGTTAGTGATGCCTGCGGAGGAGGCTAAGTAAGCCAGCGAGGCAAAAAGTAGCGTCATTTGAAAGGGTCAAGAGAAATCATGAAATAGCGTTCTTATTATACGTTATAAAGTCCTTACCCCATTTATTGCCTATCAAGACAGGGCACCCAGCGTGTATGGTCCTTTTGTCTCCTTGCCCTGATTTCTTGAGATTGTACCAGAATAGTGCATTGCCCTGTTGAAAGCGTTGATCAGTAAAGATCAATAATTACAGAAAATGAAGAAGATGATGATCACAATCATGGGTTGATGCCGATAATGACGACGATGATGATGATGATGATGATTATCATGGTGAAGTTAATGAC